TGGAACCGGAACAGGAACCATGTTTGTATGGAACCGAACTGAACTGAACTGTGAATACTGGTTTGGTTCTGATCAGTTCCATGGTTCCCTACCTATGAACTTTTTTCCTGTTGTTCCCTTACTTATTTGAAGGCTTTGAGCCTTTGAGCCCATAGCTAAAACAATTAAACAGAGTTACAGAATACAATAGCAAAAATAAAAATAAAAATAAATACAGAAAATATAACTTCAAACTGATTGTCGCTAACTAAGAAGTCTGAGATGGTGTGTGGGTGTAGATCGGATAAGCCGTCTCAGGAAACAGAGTTACAAAGAAGATGAGAACTTGATCGGAGAAGCTATGTCGCAGTGTCGCAAACTGAGATGGTGTGTGGGCGATAGTCGCGATACAGAAGATGAGAGGATGTGAGGACTGATGAGTGATGAGGAGTGAGGACTGGTGAGTGATGAGGAGTGAGGACTGGTAAGTGATGAGGGTTAGGTTTAGGTTTAGATGAGTTTTTGTGGTTTAGTGGTGGACCACGTGTAACTTACTACTATATGGTATGAGTCATTAAAAATATATATAATCATATATACATATATATATATGTATATATATATATATATTATATATACGATTCCGGTTCCCACGGGTCTGGAACCGAAACCAAAATCGTAAGCCTACGGTTCCTATTTTTATAACCGGGACTGGGACTGGGACTGGAACAGGAAGTGTGAGAACCAGAACCAAAGCCCCGGCTCTGTTCGATTCCACGGTTTTTTTGTGCACCCCTATCCCAGTTAGCTAAATGGTGGTCACCATTCCATGCACCAAAAATAATAAAATGCCCTTCCGTGAGTAATATAACCACAACCATGCCATAAGTATACCTTTAGGTACACATATGCATGTATGTATATATGTATATATACACACATACCAATAATGAAATGCTAATGAAACCAAAAAAAAATTCGAGGGCCTTGGGTCCACACGGGACCTCACGGGCTTGAAAATTAAAAAATGATGAAACTACTCGTAATGCATTTCAAAGAATTCTAAATTCGAAGAAACTCCCTAAACAACCCTTGGCACTCATGTGGTATGTAAATCGATGCACGAAAATAATGAATATAAAAATAAATAAAAATGCCAAAAATATTTGAAAAAATCTGAGACGATACAAATAAGTACTTATCACAATTAATTTATTTTTTAAAATTATTTGGTAATAATATTTTTAAAATACTTCTATAGCTAACTTTACAATAATATACTTTATTAGGATGTTATCATATTTGATAATAGAACTTTTGTGACGACTCGAACCCAAGGGTCCGAATCGCTAACCGGGTCCTTACCCGAACCCGAAATCAACTAAAGACGTTACCGTCCTTTCTTATGTCAATACATAATATATGTGTCATCCCAGGGTTTATAAATAATAATAATAATAATAATAATAATAATAATAAAATGAAATCATAGCTATAAAATATGTCAAAACAGTCCATTAACCCATCAAAACATATGGAGAAACGTCGTCTGCCACTTCCTTCACGTGACCTAAACATTGTTAAAATGATGGGATGAGTATAAAGCTAAGTAGAAAATGTCTAAGACGCACCTCTTATGACCCTATGAATCCACATAAGGAATAGAGTAGAAATAAATGGGATCATGCCTCGGGAAAAACAAGTAAAGTAACGATAATAATCAACAAATACATACGCAAGTCGTATAACTACCAAATAAACAATGTATACCAATGCAATGCCATGCTATGTAATGTTGTTCCCCATTTCTGAAACAATACCATTTCAACTTCCAAACCGTTAGTGCTATCTGACCCAAGGCACCTACAAGGCGTCATGAAGGGAGGGTTGGCTAGCTTTCCCCGACCACATGGCACCTCTATGGCGTCGTCTGGGTCTAGGTAGGTTAACCACACTAGAGTCTCTCTCTAGCTCCCCTCTAGACCACTCTAACACCACGGACCACTAAGCGCCCCCTAGGCATCTGGTTTTTCACAAACACTTTCGAAAACGTTTCCCCAAATCAATTTCATTGGTTTTAAAAAAAATACATTTCCCCTTTTTCTTTCTCAATGGATGCATGAATGTTTCATGCTTCACAATTTAACATAATTTTCACATCATCAAACCGGAATAACATTTCATAATAAAGAAGAATTTTCTCATGAATTTATAGCATGTTTTAAGTCAATAAATTTTCGACAATTACACATATTAAACAAGGACATAATCACAAAGGCATGCTTTCCGTATCTAATCAACAAATCATACACACGTATATTATTTACATATAACACACATAGAGATACACATCATATATCTAGCATCACGGCAATTCCTCTAAAAAAATTTACAATCTAGCATGTTATACTTCAATTATAGGGAATTAATTCACAAAAAAATCTAAGAGATTATAAATTAGAACACCCCTACCTCAAATAATGCAAAAACCCCCCAATTTATGCCCAATTTTTGAAATTTCAAGGGTTGGCCAAACAAGGATTTACTTCAATCAAAATGACGACCTCGACGAGCTCTCCAACATTGCCTAAGGAAGCACTATCAAATTCCCAAAGAGTTAGGCTTAATCAAGCCTTGAATTAGTGTAAAAAGAAAAAGAAAAATGGAAGAAGAGAAAGAGAAAGAGAAGCTGCTGGGAGTGAAAAGAAAATGAGGCCAAGAAATGACCTCTTGACCATTAAAGGCTAAAGTGGTAGGTCCCACCACTAAAGAAATATCTAACCTTTTTAAAAAAAATTTTCCACCACAACATATATATATATATATATATATATATATATATATATATATATAAATGAATCATATATATTACAACTTTACTAAGAAATGAATGTAATTGTCTTTATAAAAAATAAAAAGGATAAAATTGTCTAATAAAAAATAGTTACTTAAAATATACAACTTCAATCCAGAATACAGTTTTAAAGCTCCAAATTTTAACTTCATTCAAAAGCTCTACTAAACTAAATCTGGTAATTATTAAAAACACTTTTAATGGTTACCAAACACATCTAAAAATAATTTTTTAAAAAATAAAAGTGCTTTTAAGCCGTGAAGAAACAATCCCAAATGGTTCATGACCCGATTCATTACATATTTGATTGAGTGAGTTTGATAACGCAAAATTAATACCACTTAACAAAATAAGTGTTACTTAAAATATGATAAAAAATTTAGTGATGAAGAGTTTACTTATCATTGAACACTTAAAATTCCAAAAAATATAAGAAAATGTTTTAAATTTATAACTAAAATTTAAAATTTCAGCACTTGAAATTTAGCTCCTAAAAATTTTGGGCGCGTAATTTTTAATTTTACTAAACAACGCCTAACTTTCTTTAAACTTCATAAATCATAATTTATATTCAATTTAAGATTCAAAGACCTCAAACAATCATGCTTAAAATAATAATAATAAAAATAAATAAATCATGCTTAAACATAAAAAAAAATAAATCATGCTTAAACTTTATTTTAATTTGATGTCACAAGATACACAAATCATAACTTCTATTAAATTTGGATTCTAAAAGACATTAAATGGCATGCTTTAGTTACGCTCTTAGTCCACAACTCTGAGATACATATCATTATGAAAAATAAAAATTCTACATATTTTATGCTACAATTCACCCCACTACATAGTATAATATTATCCGCATTGTGTATCCGAGCTCTCATGATTTTACTCTTGGGTTTTACCCTAAAAGGCCTCGTACAAATTGGAGTGTAAAAATCCTATATATACACTTTACCTTTCCATACACAAGCGATGTGAGATTGTGCACCAGTAGCTCGCCCAGTATGGTAGCCAATCAATGCCTCTTGCACCCGCCCACGAGGTCGCCAAAATCACCCCCCTTAGGGGCCCAATGTCCACGTTGGCCACACTTCCAATTGGTCAGGCTCTAATACCATTTATAACGACCCACTCCACCACATGGTATATAATATTGTCTGCATTAGGCCAGAGCCTGCACGATTAGGTTCTAAAGCTTTACTCCAAAAGGCCTCGTACCAAATCTTTCATATATATCACTTCTCATTTCCATGCCCAAGCAATATGAAATTGTGCACCTGTAGCTCACTCAGTGTGATAGTCTGTTAGTGCCTCTTACACCTGCCCACGACACACCAATCCACAAGGTCGCCACAATCACCCCCTTAGGGGCCCAACGTCCCCGTTGGCTATACCTCTGACTGGGTCAAACTCTCATACATTTGTAACGACCAACTCCACCAGATAGTATGATATTGTACGCTTTGAGCCTGAGCTTGACCCAGCTAGAAGTGCGGCTAACAGGGACGTTGGACCTTTAAGGAGGATGGGGGGTGATTGTGCTAGCCTTGTGGGCGGGTGTCTCGCGAGTGTGCAAGAGATATTGACAAACTACTACACTGAACGAACTACAAGTCTACAATCTCACATCAAATTTTGGGACACAATTCACATATCTAGTGTTCGATCAACTCCTAAAGGTATTAAATCTTTGTCTTTCGACATCTACATATTCATAGTTTTCCTAAAGTGAGTGAGGACACATTTTAGAATTTGAATGCCATCACATCAGACATAATAAATATTTGAAAGAAATTTTTATTGAGTTTAGCTATATGTTACTATTTATTAGAGTGTAAAAAAAAATTAGGCCATAAAATAGTTACAAATAGGCCCTAATAAGTTCAGATATAACCCATTATATCATCATGTCATTTCACTCCGAGGCCCATGATGTGAAAAATAAATGCATAAACGCAGAATTAAGAAATTAAACTATTCAAGTGCAATATCAAACAAACAAAAACTAAGAACTTACATAATTGCAATAAAATCAATTTGTCAGCAGATAGGTTATAGCTTACACTTGCAAACCATTGCAATAGACTTTTCAAAATTTTCATATCCAACGTCATATATATATATATATATGCTACTTATGTTGCATTCAAAATTCACGCAGAGGCAATGGAGTTGATTCAACCTTTGTACGATATTGTGAAAAACATGTGCACACCCATTTGTAGACGTGTGGATTATGCGATAAACCTGTCAAAGAATTTCACAGAGCTGAGCGGGAGAGTAAAAAAATTATGCGACAGGAGGGATGACATTATATATCAGATTGACCTTGTTAAGCTACAAAAGGGTCCTACAAGAGAATGCAATGGCTGGCTTGAAAGGGTGGATGAGATTGATAAGAAGACGAAAGAAGATGAGCAGCTCATTGGCAAAAGATGTTTTAATGGATGGTTTCCAGATGTCATTTCTTGTGTGAAGCTCGGTAAGCATGTGGTGGAAATGATCGAGCAGGTTAAAGAGCTCCAAGAGGAATCCAGGTTTGAAGACGGTTTTGTCATTGATTTGCCACCAAAAATAGTTGAGGAGAGGCCTGTTGATGCTTTGATAATGGGGAATTCAACTAATCTCACCTTGCAAAAGATACGAGATTCCATAAGAGATGAGGGTGTCCAAAAGATTGGAATTTGGGGCATGGGTGGGGTGGGAAAGACAACCTTAATGAATGTCTTGAATAATGAGCCTGAAATTCAAACTATGTTTCATATTGTAATATGGGTAACTGTCTCAAAATCTTGGAGCATTAGGAAGATTCAAGAAGAAGTTGCACTGCGCTTGTCATTACTGGATGTAAAGGATAAACCAGATGACAGAGTTTCAATAATGTTGTTTGAGAAACTCAAGGGCAAGAAGTATTTGTTGCTTCTGGATGATGTTTGGGAAGAAGTGGATTTGAGTAGAGTGGGTATACCAAGTCCAAGTCAAGAGAAGGGTTGCAAAATTGTTCTGACAACCAGAAAAATTCGAGTTTGTCAAAAAATGTCAACTGATAAGGAGATCAAAGTGGAAGTTTTGGACCAAAGTGAAGCATGGGAATTGTTTAACTCAAAAGCGGGAGAAATCTCATTGCTCCCAACCATCAAGCCGATTGCTGAAAAAATCGTCAGAAAGTGTGGTGGCTTACCACTTGCACTAAAAGTAGCAGGTGGGGTGTTGAGAATGGTTGAAGATGTAAGCGTGTGGCGTAATTTTTTGAACAAGTTGAATTCACCAGCTATGTCTTTCATTGAAGATATGAATGAGGATGTGTTCAGGTCATTGAAGGTCAGTTACCACGCGTTGAAGGATGACAGCATCAAGAATTGTTTTCTGTATTGTGGCTTGTGTCCGGAAGATGAAAAGATTAAAAAATCTCGGCTGATCACTTATTGGAGAGCGGAGGGGTTTCTTTGGAGTAAAGGGACTTTGAAAGATGCTTATGATGATGGGCGTGCGAAATTACATGACCTTATTGGTGCATCTCTGTTGGAGAAGTGTGAGGATGAAAAACATGTAAAGATGCATGATGTGGTTCGAGATTTAGTTCTGATGATGACTTCTGCAGGAGGAGAGGAGAGCAGGTTCATGGTGAGAGCGGGACTGTCCATGACGTCCCTGCAGGAAATACCTGATATTGATGATAAGGAATGGGAAGAAGCAAGTAGGATTTCATTTATGAATGCCGAGGGATACAAATTACCAGAGAAGCCAAAATGTCCCAAGCTGTCAACATTGCTGCTTCAGCCACGTGGATATTATCTGGAGGCAATACCTGAATGTTTCTTCAATCACATGCCTAACCTTCGACTTTTGGATCTATCAAGAAGTGGCATCTCCTCATTGCCATCTTCCATCTCAAATTTGGTCAGCCTTCGAGCATTGCTTCTGAAAGGATGCGAGTATTTACATGCTCTCCCTGAGGAAGTAAGTGTGCTCCAGAGACTTGAGGTGCTCCATGTCAGTCATGCGTACAAAACGAAATGGGGACTGAAGGTTCGGACTAACCTTTCCTCAAAAAGTGGGATATTGTGGAAGTTGACCAGCCTTAAAAGTTTGAAATTTTCACCTCTAAGTTTGAGAGTCACCAGAGATGGGATGGTTCCTTCTAGTGTGACCATATCCAGACTTTCCCTGCTTCAAGAATTGAGTATTAAAACGATGGAATTGAGTATTAGACGGTTAAAAGGGGATGATGAAGAAAGTTTGGAAACTTTTGCAAAAGAGGTTGGCAGCTTGACTCGGCTCTCTTCACTTAAATTCCACTTCAGAACAATGAATTGTCTGAAACACTTTATCCATAACAGCCAACCATGGAGAGATCGTACCATACAGAAATTCCAATTCTATGTTGGAGAATTTCTGACATCATCAAATCTTCCCAAAATATTTGAGAGGTACCTGTTATTTGAGCCGGAGTATAAGGATGATGGGGGAGTAACTTCTGAAGAAATTAAGGAGGTACTCATACGTTCGGAGTATTTTTACCTAGAGGGTTGTCAAACCCTTCAAATACTATCAGAATTGGGCGCGGAAACAGTTAATGGGTTAAAAGGTTTATCCGTCAGTTTTGGTATTAATGAATATATGATAGATGAAGATGGATTGCGAGGGAATGTTTTTGAAAACTTAGAATACCTTCGATTGAATTGCTTACATAGTTTTAGGGGCATCTGCTGCGACAAATTACCAATGCAATTAAGCAGCAGCACCAATAGCTTCACTAAACTGAAGGACTTGAAAATAATTCGATGCCATTCAACGAAGAAGGTGTTCTCATGGGGATTGATTCCGCAACTCCTTAATTTGGAATCATTGGAAATTATTAATTGTTTGGGAATGGAGGAGATAATTTCAGCTGATTTCGACGAGAGGGAGGAGGACAACAGGAGGCTTGAACACGTGAACCTACCCAATTTGAAGCTTTTGGATCTTTGGGTTGTACCAGAATTGGTTGGCTTCTCCAAGAGGAAGAGGAACCATCTGTACTTGCATTGCCCCTCCTTAGAGGAGGTTAGTTTTTACAAATGTCCAAAACTGGATATCTTTCCTTTTGGCATCGACAGTGCACCTCATTTGAGAAAGATTAAAGGAGAACCGAAATGGTGGGAAGCATTAAAATGGGAAGACGACGCCACTAAATCACGATTCGCCCCTCTCTTCCATATATACATGGGACGTTGATTCCTCCCAATGACGTTGTAGTCCCTGCAGACAGGTAAACAATACGACACTGCAATTCTGTTTAATATTAGCACCCTTTAATGAAGTTGTAGTCCCTGCGTGCAGGTAACAATACTACACTGATACCACACAATTTGAATTTTTTTCTTCGAATCTACAAATAACTATACTTCCGGCCACCTCATATAACTACCTTTTCTTATTCGTTTTAATTGCTCAAACAATTTTCTTTTCTTTGTAATGAATACGCTAAAACTTTGTTGCCATAGATTTGGTTCGAAACTACCTGGGATTTCTAAATTCACAATGTTGGGTAGATTGATAATGTAAGGAATTAAAAATTAATCTCACGTGAAAAGCTTTAAAACTTTCTTCAAATTAATAAATAGTACTGACATGCTTGTAAATTTTGCATTCGGTTTTTCATTTTTGAATGCTCTCTTTCCTTCGATTTTTTGTCGGTCTAAATTACAAACAATTTAATAGTGTTCAGGGAATATTGTTAACGGCAGAAATTTAGAGACATTTTTGTATGCTGAGGAGTTTTGTCAAAATTCAGATGGTAAGGGCAGACATTAGGGTACGCTTCTTCAAAGTCTCATAAATTTACGTTGCTTCAAATTACTGCATCAACTTTAACCGATAGCAATATTTTGTGACCAAGATAGATCAACAGGATTTGATGGTAAGTGGTGCGTTGTTAACTGTTCTTTTTTAAGATTTTGGGTGTTTTATCTAGAATAAAAGGCACAACCTTTAATATAAAATTGTGCTTTGTTTGATACCTGTGATTCATTTGGTGTTCCAAACTCTTACGATGTTGGAGAGGTTGTAACTCAACTATTTATATATTCTTAGTCGTATGTAGTGAATGATGCTTCTCTATGCAGCCGATATGGACCATTTAATGTGGGACTTAGCTCTCAAATGTCTTTCCAGCTCTCCGTCTCTGCTCACTGTTGTGGAGTTTGGTTACCGGCCTCTTCAAGGAAATGATATGATTTTATATCTGTTTTCTTCTTTGCGTATGTCATGGAAGGTGTTGAGTTGTTCTGCTACAGCAACTAACAGTTTCTCAAATCTCTATGTTGATTATGTATTTGATAAGGAGCGACTGATACTTATTTGCTTAATAACTTATATTTGTATATATTGTCTTAAGGTTGTTTGATTTGAGCTCATCCCATTTATATCATTTCATGTAATCGATGAGCTGACCAGTAGCTAAAGACCTCTATGCTTTGTTATTATTTTATGTACTTTATTCATCAACAAAATCTGTGTAAGCAGAGTTTGTGACTGCTGATATTATGAAAATTGTGAAGTGTTATAAACTATTGTGAAAATTGTGAAGTATTATGAAAATTGTGAAGTGTTATAAACTATTAAAGCATGTTATTGTTTTCATATATTGCATAGTAAATTTATTTTCCTATTACACATTGGTTTCATTGAAAAGACAAGATTGCATTAGGCCTTTAACTTTTTTGGTGCGAGGCATAGTATTTTGTCAACTTGGACCTTCCTGCTCATTTTCTTGGACAAGGTATGGCTTTCAAAACTCTTTTCTTGTTAATGAGGTTTCTAATTTATTTTGTCTAAATCATGCAATGATCATTTCTTTCTGGAATAAAGTAAGGCTTTTTCCCCCAAATTTTGTCTAGTGTCAGTTATTAAGGGTTAGTTTGGTGTGATGGAATGAAATAAAAGGAAGTGGAATGGAATGGTTTTTTTTTCCATTACTGTGTTTGATGCCAATTTTAAAGTTGGAATTATCATTTTAAAGTTGGAATGGTCATTCTATTAAAATCATTCCACATTCCAACAAAAAAAACGACCATTCCATTCCCTACTCATTCCATTTCCACCTCCATTCTCATTCCATTCCAATTCATTCTACCACACCAAACTAGCCCTAAATTAACTTTCCAATTTTCACGGGAATGTGAATGCTCTCTCTCTCTCTAGTGCATGATTTTTATCCGGAAAAAGAATACGTAACTTTATATTGGATAACTTGACATTGAATGTGAATTCTGAAGCCTCACCAATTGGTATTGCTCTCTGTTAATCTTTGAAGATACACAAATTTGAAGTGGCAAATCAATTCTCATTCACTCATTACCCTGAAAATGAACAGGGGGCCATACCAAGCTTTAGAGATCTGTTACACAAATTTATATATTACAAGTGATTCTGAATCAGAAAATACTGCTATTTTACGTTCTTTTGATCCTAATAAGGCTTTGTTGAAGTCAAAGCAATGAGTATCGATATTAGCACTTCGGATGACAATTTAGCCTCCCTCGTTTCTGATGTCATCTGTAGCAGTTTTAACAACATTTAGTAGAAGCAACAAGAGCATCCCTCAGGATTGGTTGCATATTTGTGAATGAAGCTGCTCTGGTTTTGTTCTTGAACAATATTTGTGTAGGTTTAATTATATAACCACTAGTAATCTTGCTAGTGCTTCAAGCTTTAAAAATTTTGCAAGCAAAATGCGATTTTTACTAAAGTAGAAACATCAAAAGAAACCAGAGGTTATTGTTTGTCATCCGAGAATTGGCTTTCATCAGCTAGTCCTCACTTTTACATTCCAAATTTCATAATTTTCTCTTCCAAAAATTGGGGAAAAAAAAAGAGTGTGTCATGCCTATTTCTCCTGGAAATGAGCCAACACTATCATTTTCTGCTTGCAGTCTTCTGACAGCATTGCAGAAGATGGGAATCAATGGAACAGTTGAATGAGGCACGGATGGTGTTGAATCAGAAAATGCTTCAATTGTAGGTGTTACTCAGCCTAACAAGGCTTTGATTGAAGTCAATGCAACAACTAGTGTTATAAAACAACTTTTTTTTCTCTCTTTTTCCAACCAAATAATTCACATAATACTCTTGGAAAAAATTTGAACTCAAAATGCTTTTTATTTTGGAAGGAGTGGGAAAATACCATTAAACCATATATCTTGGTAGTACATATAATTTTCTTGCTTCATATGATTGCTGTAGTTTTAAAATATAACTTCGGAAAATTAATATTCGATATTCATCTTTTGCATGCTTGTTCTCAGGCCAAGAAAAGCATTTTTTTTTTTTTTTTTTTTTTTTTGTGAAAGGCTAATTTCAAATGTGTGTATATATAAGAGTAATAAGTACAAAGCCCATTAATGGGATGGTCCAGAAGACCCAATCGAAGACAAAATGGCAAATAGCCCAACCCAGCTAGAAGCCCAGCCCTAAATTTAAAAACATGACCGTTGGTACTTGGCCATCTAAATCAGAAAGATTCTCAGAACAACGAACAGGGCATCCCCTGCACAGCTATCAATCCGGGGGCTTAGGTGGAAATCGAAGAACTGAAGCCGGCAATTCCCATTCCGAGACGGATGTGCCTAGCTGTAGCAGATTGATAGAAGGAACAAGACATCAGTTTTAGTCTTACAGTGTCAGGAGTGAGCCTAAGAACTGTGGATGCAAGTCTTGATTTGCCCTTCATAGCCCTTCGATTCCTTTCAGACCAGATATGATAAACAACCGTAGCAAAGCACAATTTAGAGTCAACAGCCCTGTAATTCATTTGTTTGATCTTCCCCAATTTACCATTGCCATCCACTAGGAGGGAAGAGTGTAGAAGCCACAACCTGTTTGTATAAATGACCCAAAGGGGCTAACATAAGAGCATTGAAAGAAAAGGTGGTCATGAGATTCAGGTAAGCTTGCACGTAGCTTACAGAGGTTGGTTGGACTTCTATGAGCCATAGGCTTGCGGTCCAAAGTAGATAATCGAGTGTGACATGCCATCCACAAAATGAAATTGTGTTTGGGAATGGAAGGTGGGGACAGTGAAGAGAATGGACCAAGTGAACAACAATTGTCAAACCAAAAATTGGAAAGTAGTCCATTACCAATTTCAACCTTGACAAGAGGTTTGATGGCTGGTCGAAGCTGAAGTAGTTTCTTTCAGTTCCATGGGCATTGACCAGGAACAGTGATCTCCCAAATGCATCTGTCTCTTACGAGGTATGTGTTGATCCATTTGACCCATGTGCGAAGATTAGGGATTCCCAGACCACCTGCACTCTTTGGAAGACAAACAGTGAACCATTCCACTTTAGCTCCATTCTTCCTGAGCTCCATTCATCTTTTTCATGAGTGTTCACAAGCCAAGAAAAGCACCTTTTGTTATATTGCTTCCTTGTGAAATACAAACAATCCCAAGAAAAGAAGATGCAACTCATGAATTATTCCTTTCTTTAGTCTCTCTTTCTAAATCAATAGATATATATATATATAAGTAAGTTTGTGTATGCAAGAAAGTATATTACTCTGGAACTCCGGTTTGCAGCTTTCTTCCGTCATATAAATCATAATTTTAACTCTTCAATCCATATTTCCATAAAGCTGTCCACCAGGGCAACATTTAGGTAAGCAATGTAATGTGTGCATGCAATTTCCTTGTGTATACTTTTATTCGTTAGAATGATCATTTGGTTCAATCAAGTAATTTATATGTGTTACAATATCTTTCTATTATACTATATACATACACATGTTATATATATATATAAACAATGTTAAATTGTTGCTTTTTCCTTTTAGCACTATTGTTCAATAGTATGATTTATTTATTAATATAATACTGATCAAGTAATTATATATGTTGACAGATAAAAATTTGTCGCAATTCCAGCTACTCAATTCCTTTGGTGCATTGAAGTTATTTGCATTGAAATAAGGTATGAATTTGAAATTTTCTATTAAGATATGACTATTCATATGTTACAATATCTTTCCCTTACAATACACACACACACACACATATATATTATGCTCATAATTTTTATTTTTTGCTTTTACCACTATTATTTAATAGTATGATTTATTAATTTAATGCTAATCAAGTAATTATGTATGTTGGCAGATAAAAAATTTGTCACAATTCTAGCGACTCAATTCCTTTGATACTGTGAAGTTATTTGAATTGAAATAAGGAGTGTATTTAAAAATTTCTATTAAGATATTACTGTTCATGTGTTACAATATATTTCCCTCACAATAGACACATGTATATATATATGTGTGTGTATGTGTCATATAATGTTAATTTGTTATTTATTTATTTTTATTTTTGCTTTTACCACTATTATTTAATATTATGATTTATTAATTTAATGCTAATAAAGTAATTATGTATGTTGGTAGATAAAAAATTTGTCACAGTTTCAGTCACTTAGTTCCGTTGGTGCTGTGAAGTAATTTGAATTAATATAAGGTGTGTATTAAAAATTTGTTGTTAAAATATTAGTGTTCATGTGTGACTTTATCTTTTCATTACAATATATATATATATATATATAATACATGTATCTATATATGTTCAGACAGTATTAAATGTTTTATTTATTTATTTATTTTAGTCTGACCGCTTGTTCAATAGTATGATTTATTAATTTCATACCATAATAAAGTACAACTTTGTATATCCTCCTGTCTTATTTTCATAAATGGGTAGTTGAAGGGACAAAAAAAAATCCCACTGGGCCGGATCCGGCCCAGCCCACCTGTTCAGGAAAAGACTCCAACAACTTCCTAGGCCAATCATTCTAGGAATTGGACCTAACTTTGTAGTAGGACAGCCCAATGGGAAATACCAGGCCCACGAGAAATTTCATTTACTTATATAATATTGTTTTTTTTTCTTTCCCCAAGTTCAAGACAGATTTTGTTCTCAAAGCGTTTTTTAAATTCATTTACATTAATACATTTTTATACCTCACATGTCCTAATACTTTGGAAAAATAAGTTACATTATTTTCATCAAGAATACCGTGCTCTACTAAGCCTAAACTTCATATATAATTTTTATTCCACAATTTCAATTAAATTTTTACCTTTGAATTTTAGCAATGGAAGGATCCAGGTTAGAGTTTTTTCAAAATTATATGTGGGAAACTAGGAAACATAGATACTTCTCTTATGATATTGTGGCAATGACATGTTTTGGGACACTTTAAAGATACGATGTATTGGTTTTGTAATAATTATATTTAAAAAAAAATGAGGTTCAATATAATTTAAAATGTGTTATGGGTTAATTAAAAATAATATAAAATTTAAGAAAACAAAATTAACAATCATCTCACTAACTTCCAAATTAATGATTTTATCCATGATTATATGGATAAAATGAAAAATAAAATATTATTTTTATATATAATTAATTACTATATTATTATTTTTTGACGTATTCATATATTTGCTTTGTAGGTGGAAACATTATGTATGCATTTGATTTAGATTTTAGGAGGGAAAAATTAAAATTTTGTTTTGTTTTAAACTCGTATAATAAAAAACTGGGTCATTGATTTGTATTTAATTGTTCAAAGTTTATACTTGTTGATCAAAATACCACCCAACTATAATGATCTTTTAAGTATATAAGATGAATATTTTCCCAAGTAAATGATAGACGTTTGATAGTTAACAAAATCATGTATTATACTCTTATAATATACATATGTTCTTACAAATAAATACTACGTATATTCG